GAAAATTACATTAATATACCTGCTATTCCTGCTAACCTACAAAATAATTCAAAAGGAATGGGAATGTAGAACATAATACATGCAACTGCATGCAACCACCGAGACACGTATAAGTGATATTATATGGTTGTAGATGTGTCCATGCGTGACATCTTTTCGATAACTTGATTAAAATTGTTGATTTGGCCACCTTGCTTCATGAGTGGAAATGAAAGATTATCTGACCAATTACGAAACAGCATAAAAACTGACGTCACCATTTATTCAACGTATCGCCAAATGGCGGCCATGAAAGATCCTTTGAAACAGAGATTATGTTTGAAATGAGGTCTGAAATTCAACAATTTCAAACAACGCATTATTTACATAGAACAAGCGTGTTGCAAAAATTAACACAGTGGATTGAATGCCAATAAATCATTATCAGTCCCCTGACCCATTGACTTTGAATCCTATTATCATATCAAATAAAATACAATTGAAAAATAATGATAGTATACTCATATATAATAATTCATCCAAATAATAATATATAAGACGAGCAACGCTGAGTTATTGCGATGTTATTCTTAATAGTATATTACGTAATGTGTTGTAAGAAGCATATTACGCACGAATGTAAAAATTTAAATTACCCTACCTACAGCCATAAAGAGCGTCCATATAAATCGATCAGAAATTGTAAAAAATAATCAAACATCTGATTTTCATCATATAGTAGGTAATTGAATATTTGAATAAAGTTTTCAATTCAAGTCAACTTTTCTCTCCAGTAATTTTCGATATTATCGAAAAAGAAGGTGTATAACAATACTGTAACACACTTTATAACACAAGAATTAATATTTTTTGACATGCACCGTATAGGACTGAAAAAATTCGATATCTGATATTCGCATTTTCGGTTTTAGGCTTTGCAGAATTTTTAATGAGGAATGACTTTTTAACTAAAATCAACAATGAGAAAGTTTTCATATGACATTGTTATATATCTTTATGGTTGAGATTGTATTACTATTACCTATATTATCATTTAATAGCATATATTATTCTGACTGTGCGTTTTGCTTACCGTACTTATAGGTAGCGAACATACGTCTATCAACACTCAACAGAACCTAACTAAAAATACAATATTATACAGATTATGTCTATATAACGATACCAAGCTATTGATGATATCAGTTATATCAGCTATATTAACGCTATAAAAGGGACCAATATCCTACGAATACTTCAAAATTTCATCAATTTATTTTGAACCAATTGGAAGGCTCCTTTTTGGTAACTTTGCTTATAGCAACGAGTGACTATCACGATAATTGTGTAGAATTAATAAGTGATAATAATTATTCTGATGTCAAAAATGAAGCGCCTTATATAGTAAATGGTAAAAGTCACTCAGTTTTATTTGAAGCTATATATATAGACATGTTATATCAGATGATTATATGGTTGAAAACTAATTGATGTTTTTGATGTTCCTGAAATTTGAGTAATAGATCTGTTACTAACAAGTAGAGTCAACTTCTATTGTGGAAATATATGATGCGTCGTATAATACTCATATTCAACTAAACCCATCGGAAATATGTTTTTTAAGTTTCATTTGAATCTAAAACTATGAAGACATTGGATTTCAGATAACAAATTTCGTATTCAATGTTCCTCACATATAAGTAATCAAAACGAATTATACCAAAGTGTCAAACTTTATCTGACATCTACGCAAAAGGGGTCGTAGGGTTCATCTTCTCATCTTATTAAAAGCAACTCCAATTCATGAAATTTTCTCACTGCATCTCCCACGCAGCAGAATTAATTTCCGATATTTTTTTTTCATCTCTCATCTCATATTTTTGTTGATAAAAAAATATACCATGTCGAAGACACATTCATGACCTTGATAATTCAACTATTACATTGTTGTAAACCTATACTGGGAGTACAATTCTTCCTAAAATTATTAATAATTCATTCCCATCAGTGCGAATTCTGATTATTTTTTCAGGAAACAATTATTTAATTCTATTGCGACCGTGCACATGCGACTGACATAATTTTCGACAAAAGTGATGATTTGAAAACCAAATTCTTCGATAATTGTTTTGCTTACAGGGGGAGCGTTTCGCGTTTTGTAGACAAAAACAACAATGACATTTTCACTCTCCCCAAGAACGACAATAGAACGAAACAACAAAAGACTGCGACGAAATAATAAGTCATCGCGTTTATATCACAACCGATGTCGGTGATCGATAACATATCCCAGTCTGGAAACGTAATAGATTCTTCCCCTTAGTCAAAAGTCTCGGCTATTACATTATCCACTGCGTTAGATCTGCAACATATGTTTTTGATGGCACCCTTAACAGGGGGTAGATCTATCTCCATTTAAAAACACGGACGGGAGTATTTACCCCGGACTTTGCCCTCAAATTGCTCAAGATTATTATTGGAGTTTTTGTATGTTAGGGATGAAGTTCTCGAAGTCGGTCTGCTAACACAGATTCACCTCGAGAAATCAATTCCTTATAATATTTCTACTTTTCTCTAGAAAACCCGATCTCACTGTGCCCAACCATATAAGCTTTTCAGGAGTAACCATACCTTTGAAGACATCCATTTCGAGTCTGGTATTACTATCAGCAATAACTTTTCTTGGGAAAATCACGTGAGATCAATTGCTAAAAGTGCATCCCAAAAACTTGGTTTTCTGTTTCGGGCCAGGAGCTATTTTACTTCCAGTCAGCTGCTTATGATCTATAAGGCACAGATCCGACCTGTCCTGGAATACTGTTCCCATATTTGGAGTGCAGCACCCAAACATACCCTGAAACTGTTGGATATTCATATTCTGTCCAAAAAAGGGCAATTCGTCTCGTGGGTGATGCCTCGCTCACAAACTCACTCACTCCTCTGGAACACGGAAAAGTTGGCGATCTAGCTGTATTTTATAGATATTCACATGGACGATGCTCTTCTGAAATATCAACTATTGTTCCTCCCTTGGCAGTCCCCGCGAGATTAACCCGTCGAGTTGAGGCTTCGCACCCCTTCGTGTTCACTTTGGAGACCTGCAGAACATCTCTTTCCAAAGACTCGTTCATGCATCTAACGAACTGCGAGGCTCTGGAACATATTGCCAAAGGAGGTGTTCCCCGAGGCATATAACCTCCAGAAATTTAAGAAGAACACCAATTCCTACCTTATTTCCCTTGGTTCTCACGATGTCCTCTGAACATTACAGAATATTCCTTTTATTTTACTATACCGTCCGTTCCAAAATTGATATCAGTAGTGCACCTATGACAGCCTCATCTCAATCGAGCCCATTAACTGTTCTTAACCGGAATTCGCGAAAATCACGCCTCTGGTGGCTAACTTTACAAGTCTTGCGAGTATGAACAACAAATATGGCGACCATTGTTTTGAGTTACTGTGTTTTATATGAAAATAATTTATTTGTTGAAGTGCATATTCCAGAACCTCATTTCTCCCTGATGAAAAAACTCGAATTATTGCATGAACTTTTATTGTTTACAATGAAGAAGCCAGTTCCTACCTTATAATAATATAATATACATTTTCTGAAGCACAGTTAGAATTCTTGTATAAATGTTGGTTGCAATGATTCGATCTTGAGAATAACTCCAAGTCTTCAATTGCTGGAGATCCTTGTTCATGTAAATCGATGATACTGTTCATTCTGAGCAGTCTTTCCAACCATATCTTCTTTTCCCAGCCCCTTCACTAGAATTCCATCTCCTTCATAAAAGCCAGTGATATTTCTTGATGAATTGAATTATTTCTTCATACCTATACCATATTGTTGTAATAGCTGATTGCTTATATGGCTCCAGTCCAGTCCATGCAAGTGTTGAGTGGACCATTCCGACCATTCCATATGTTTGAAAACTGTGGAATTGTAGTGTGATATCAATGATGAATACCACCATTGTTCACATCAAAATGGCAATTTCTCTGTACGAAAAGTAATTTTTTCCATACTGAAGACCTTGTATACGTATGTCACGAAGTCAACTCATTATTCACTATTTTGCAAAATGATTTCGAAATAACCAGTGCATACGGCAATGTTTTTGTTGTTCATACTCAGTTTGAAATTTGACGTTGATTTGACGTTAAATAGAGCCATCTATTGGTTCGTGATTTTCGCGAATATCTGCCCAATTAAAAAAATGAGAAGACACCTAAAAACTATATGTCACATGCGTGACGTTTTCGTGACCTTTTCATGACGTTTTCGTCTGCATTTTCGACATGTCACAATGACAACTATTTTTAAAGGAGTAAGTATTGTGTAGTTTCAAATATTAGTAGGTGAGTGAGCTGTGCTTTGCCATTATATTAATATTACAAATTGTAGTAATTGTTCTTTTACCATTTATAATAAATAGTTTTGTACATAGTTATGCATTTTGAATAAACTTTTTTGATCAAACCATTACATGTTTTCCTTATAGAATTTCATTATGGTACTTAGTACCATAATGAATTCATTATGGTACTTAGTCCCAATAGTCCCATAATGAATTCATTATGGTACTTAGTCCCATAATGAATTCATTATGGTACTTAGTCCCATAATGAGCTTCCTTATGTCATCAAAATTGAGTGACATAACGTTGTCATTATGACATGCCATCAGATAAATGGATAAATGACAAGCTGACTCAATTATTATGCTGTGCTAGCACTGGTGGCATATATTATGTTTCATAAATAGATATTATTTGAATACATTGAAACAATTATCTCAAAACATCTCAGGTTTATATCAGCAATATAAGCATTATATATCGAAAGTTTGAATGGAAATACGTATAATCACTTCTTTTCAAACAAAAATTGCTGTGAATCGTCGGTGTACCCCATATTTACAAACTGGATGTGTATAATTGTGTATAATTATGTACAATTTGGGTCTTCGCCATGTGTAATATGGTAAAAAGTTCGTGGCAATGCGCCCCACCCACCTGACTATCCTTCAGCCCCAGCTTCTCGGCCAGCTTCTTCCTGTCCGGCTTGCTGATGTACTTCTGGATCTGGAAGCGCCGCTCCAGCCCCTTGCGCTGCAGGTCGCTGAAGACGGCCCTGCGCATCATGCCGCGCCTCGGCTTCCCCCGGCCGCTGTGCGCCCATGGGAACGTGCCTGGGAGCGGGAAGACGGCCGACTGGGCGCCCGACACTGGCGTCGACACTGCAAGATTCAAAAGAAATACCAAATGATGTTATGAACACGGGTAAAGGGCTTTCACGCAGAGTTGATAGTGACGTCAATATGTCCATTCATACAGTGTTGCCAGTTGAAAGGAAATGACTGAATGACCAACTGCCCGAATATGGATATGTCTACTGTTACGATTGTCGGACGTTATAGTATTTACTGCAACCAACTCAAAAGCCGCCCATTTATGTTTCAAAATCAGCACTTGAAGTTGATAAATGGACTTCAATATTTGTATTCAAAGAACCATGAACCTGAACAATATAATGAAGAACATACACAGTAACGACGTTAAAGAAACGAATAAAAAAAACATACGAGTTAAATTCGCAGAGTATGTTTTTAGAGTTAAAATACTCTGACAAACTCACTATCTGATACTGCAATCAACTCTATAACTATACACTTCTCGCAGATTATCTCTTTCGAAACTAATTCTAGATTGAATTTGCACTAATCCCGTATTGAATTCACTCCATATTCCTGAAATTCCAATAAAATAGCAATTCAGATAACTCAATTCACAAACAATTGAACTTGAATTCGTAGTTTATGTTCGGTGGTAAAGTATATCCAATATCAATTGCAGAATATCTCGCACTGTGCGGCGTCGGCGTGTATGAAGTTTCCTTTGAAGTGACTGCAGGTGCGGCACGAGAATCTGCAATTGTTTTCGGATAAACTATACTAGTGTTCACTGACACTAGTGAACTTGAATGTCCCACTCTTGTCGATTAAATTAACACTCTATCATTGTTCAATTCAATCTATATATACGATGAAATATCAATCTATACAGTTTCAGATCGTTCAGTCTACTGGATAGTGAAATAAGCGAGGAAATAAGTAATACTGATCATAGTGTCGATAATATAATGATCAAATGATATTAGCTTCAAAGTAGCTTTTTTACGCTACCCGCATAGTGAGAGATTTTTTTCAACATTGAGTTATTAACGTATTTCCGTATACCTATCTCAGTTATTTTCCGATTTTTCAGTTTCGAATTATTATTTCGAACGATTTATGAAACAGATAGGCTTAACTGATTAGTCTAGTGGGACTCCAGTCATTTTTTCAAATATCAAACGATTAAAATATCAAAACGTCACACTACTTCTCATCCGTCAATTTGCGCGACTGTATGAAGGTGGCGCTGCCGAGACTGCCGAGATCTCGCCGCTGAACGTCTGCCAGAGGCCTATAAATACTGTGACATGTGAAAGAATGATTAATGTAACTTGGATGAAATCTCAACAGTAAGTAGTGACTAGTTTACTAACTAGTGTTCTATACCAATCTAAAATGATGAATAAATGATAACTCCTTATTAGCACTTAAACACATAGTAGTGTCAATTTGAACAATGGAGGCGCAATTTGACATCCAGGTACAGTAAACAACTTTTGTGACTATGTAATACCTATTCGGTTATTGAATTTCACTCTAAAGTGATGACATTGATGACGCACTAGCTTGGGTCTTGAGTGGAATGTTCACTTACGAGATTGTTTCTTTCAACTCTATTTTTGTGTTTATTCAATATATTTAGAAAAATAAATAGAGTATGTTTGAATATGCTTGCATTGAAAATTTACACTAATTGAATTGAAAAAAGCACACTATAATATACTAAACTATAGAGTTAAATCATTTATTCTAAGGCTTAGTGGTCCTCCTGGGAACAGGTATAGTGTTACTGGTACTGGTGGGGGACGTTTGCACGTCAGCAAATAGTCCCTAATGGGACCTTTTTGCAAGCCCCAAGGTGTTTTTTCAATGACTGACTGGCTTTTCAGGCACCGCCCATCAGCTCTCTTCCAGAGTTTTTCGGCTGTGTTTTGTAGGCTAGTAATGTACTCACTACCATATGCTGCAGTGGCAGGCCTGCTAGCTATCATCGTTAACCCCCGTTAAAGACCGAGGTCCGCTAAGCAGCCGGCTCGCTCTCGCGCCAGTCGCGCTCAGCTCCACACCCACCTACATACACCGTCCAACTTCTTTTCTGATGCTCACAACCACATCATCATATCTTTCTGCGTGTTCTGTGTAGGCTTTGTTACTAACTCCATGCGCCACTTCAGGAGCAGCACTGTTAATTGGAACGCAACAGCGAATCGTGCAGGACTATCCCCAGCCGATGCTCTGAAACTTCACAATATTCAATTCGTAAATAAAATATTGAAAAAAGTTCCTTGCTCGTGCTGGGAATCGAACCCACGACCTTGCGGTCGTGAGACGGACGCTCTTCCACTGCGCCAATCCCGGCTCAAGTAGGTATAGTGTTAAATCTCACTCTATTTTTTATTTTTTTTACTGTGCAACGCAAAATACACAGCGACTAATAGTCAAATGCATTTTGCTCTGAGGTATCTCAGACTTACCTGTCAGATAGGGCTGCGGTCTGCAGTGCGCTGCCAACAGGAGGTGGTGCGGGCTGAAATGGTGAGGCGGCCTGCTGGCAACAGGTTTCGCTATCGACGGTGAATGATTGCTGAGGTACGTTGACAGGCCCAGCAAACTGGGCGGCGTCACGTGCACTAAATTATCTGCGAAAAACAGTTCTAGCGTCAGAGTACATCAAATCAAATTTCCTTTCAATCCATCATGCGGTCCTTGCTTTTGTTTTACCGTTGACTAAACATCGATTGTTTTGCCTATCGATAGTGTTTAAAAGAATAATCGATATATCGATATCCACTATCGATAGTTTTATCGGAGAAAATGTGAGGTTAAAACAAAGGATTTGATTGTAATAATCGCTTCCTACACTTTTGGCACGTATAAGTACGATTCCGTCTAATTTGTTGGTTGGATGGGGATAGTGTGAAAAATTACTTGTGGCAAGAATGATGAATGACGTATGGCGTTTGGCTCATGCATTGCGCATGCTCAACCAACTCTTCTACCCCTCTTTTTCATGTTTGAGCTTAGTATAGTCCGAATGAATTCATGTTGAGGGTTTGGCATCGGCATATCTTCCTTAGAGATCTAGAAAAATTCAGCAGATTCAAAGAAAAACCACAGCTTCCAATTACATCTATACTTCAGTTTTACGCTCTCGATACTATATCGCTACACACTATCGGTGGTTTTCGATATATTTAGGCAACACCTTTGGGGTCCAAACACAATGCAGAAGACTAAGGAATAGAAATAAGGAATAGCACTATGGTTGGTTCAAAACGCGTTCAAGGTTAGAATTGACCAATAGCAGACCTGCATTTCTTATCTTTTGGTCCTTCTATTGATCTGCATTGTGTCCTGACCTTTACTGAACGAAAGTGATGAAGTTGTGTGAATGTATCGAACGCTATATATTATGATAGCGAACGAACGAATCCCCTGCTTAGACCTGGCCAGAATAGTTTCGATTTTCTGGTAGGAAGTTAAAGCAAAAACATAATCATTAGCATTTCCCTTTTGTAATTGGAAACACAATCCAAAGAAAATGCACTTCAGAGTTTGAATTTCTCAGAGGGATTTTTCAAAAAGATTATATTGAATAGCTACAGTTCCCTCATCAGTTAACAGTTTACATCAGTTGTTTGAATTTTCATTAGTATTCAACAGGTTTCGCTATCGACGGTGAGTGATTGCTGAGGTACGTCGACAGTCCCAGCAAACTGGGGGGCGTCACGTGTACTAAATTATCTGCGAAAAACAATAATTCCATCGTCAGAGCAGGACACAGGACACGTCTATTGGAGGGCACTCGATAACAAACTACACCTGGCAAATGGACGTGTTAATGATCGAGTTGTCCATATTCTGATTGGCATCACGCAAAGATAATCACGTGTTCGGCAACAGGTTATCGAACAACAAAGTGATATTTTTTCAATCTCAACCTCGATCTTAACTAACTGAAATAGTTCAATTGAACTGATCTGAATCAGGTAATATGCATTCTATCGAATTACAGCTATTTATGTATCAAGGGTATTAGGGGCCTTAATTATCGATGGCAAGGTTTGTGATCTGAGGACCCTCTGGCCAGAGGGACAGCAATAGGACACTGTCAGTGACGTCATATTGTTGTTCTAAAATTGTTCCATCCGTCATTTGGTTGCCCCCTTACGAGCAACCCTCAGAAGTCTTCGGAAGTCTTCGAAAGTCTTGTGCGAGCAAGGAATGACGGGGGCCTTACCTTTTAAAACGTGTGATCCCAAACACTTTCTTGGGCCACCAGAAAAATTTCTGCAGTCGATGGAAATCGAACCCACGACCGGCAAGCGAATGCGAATTAGAATATAGACACTCTGTCCGCACGGCTACCTGGCCCCCAATATGAGTCATATGACGTTAAATTGTCGGCTGATGAAGGCAAAAGCTTACACATTTTCCGTAATAGTACAATCATGTAACTTTCCTGTACATTTCCCTCTATAATACAATACCTAGAGCGTTTATTCATTGACATGTCTGATGTTGATTCAATCATCGTGAATACTTCGAGAAAAGTGAAAATGAGTCCAATGAAGAGTTCAAATTGGTTTATTTGTCAATTCAAAATTACTGGATTCACTTGAAGTTCAGCTTCATAATATACCTAATATACTCGTATAATATCACTCGGTTTGCAACAACTCATAGACATTTATCCCAAATGATATCTACAAGTTCAACAAAATCACCAATAGGTCAGAAAGAATAAAATCAAAATTCACACGCAGCTCGATCACCTGACTAAAACGACGAGTGTGCTCACTAATTCCCGTGGTATGGGTTGCGTGAAAGAAGATGACCGACCCTGGAGGTGAAACATTGAGACACAACCTCACTTTTCTTATTCGTTTACAAATGATTGAAATAGTTTTTCACAATTATTTTGGCATACGAATCGTGTTTTTCTGCTATTCATTAATTCGCGCATACAATCACATTGTGCTGTTGTACAATGGGCAAAAAATGCAGCGAGAGACGAAGGAATCCGGTTGGAACATTATAATTCAAAAGTAAGACCTACTATAGTCACTCACATATAGTTTTCATTTTAAAATTTGGTAATTTCTCTGATTTCTTATCGGAATTCCTTCTGCAATAGGAGCTAATAGAAATACTCGTGAAATTTCTAAAAGAAGAAGATTGGATTCATGCAATCGAACGGAAGGACTGGTCTGACATGCTGACGAAATATGATCATGTGTGTTGTAGACATTTACAATCTATTAGCAGTACAGGCTGATTTTAAAATGAGTGCATATATTCAAGACATATATATGAGAGAGTCTAACAAAAATTACTAAAATATTTGATTTTTCCTAAGTCTTCACATTAACGAGAAATTTCATTTTGAAAATTGAACATAAAATGCTTCGAAATTCGAGTACGCCACTGGGAAGCAAGTGAAATCTGCGGAATCCTAGGGAATCCACAATTCGTCATTCACTAAAGTCAAAACAAGACAGTGATGCCAGATTGTTTCAGAGACGAATATCCTGATAAAAATTTGTCACAGAATGAACATGAATTGAAATAGGTTATGGAAACTAATAGAGGTGAATCTCGAGGTGAATGTAATATGTGCAGGAGCCTTATTTTTTAAAGTTTACTGAGAGAACTGTGGGGTGATTATCTCCATGGATCACGAGAGACGGAGAGAAACATGAGGGGAATGATAGAACGTCCCCCTTCCTTCAATTCGAAAATAAGGCCCCAGCGGGTAGATACAAAATTAGCAGACAATAAATAGGTACACAACATACACAAAGTTGAAAATCGACTCACCTAGTAGATTTTCTCATACCTGCTCGAACAGCAAAACTCCCGAGAGCAAACAAATACTAATATCGAGTCCATTCCATCCAATTATTTTGATTTTTATTTTACGTTTACAATTATTTTACAAACCAGCCGACACACACAAAACTATTATCATATGATCTGTCAACATCATTTCTCAAAACAGCAGTATCTGACTATCTGTGACCATAGATTTCCTCTTTGCTGTGACCTTTGACAGTACTAACTAGGATTGTTCGCGTTCTATTACTATTTCACGAAGATTGTTACGATATTACGATTTGTCATGAATTTATTACTATTTGCTATCAGCACCAAAATATGTTCCAATACTAAAAAATCTATTTCTGTGCTCAGCGGATAATTATGTTCCGTTCTATGTTCTACATTTATGTCAAAACTGTGATTAGTGCGATAGGGTTTGACAAGAATGACATTCCGAATGTCAAATGTCAGATTTTTCGAGCCTTTTACCTTTTGATACAAATCTGATACCTTTTTCCAAGGAAATCTATTACGAAAAAATCAGACCCAGGAACAACACTGACTAGTAAATGTAAAGTTTTGTTTCTGACAATTTGCTTGGAAAGTGACGATGCATTTCTCAAACATTGAGCTGAATGATATGGTTCTTATGTCGGGTCGTTATTGTGCGGGGCCCATGAGACTCCTCGAATGACACGAAATTGTAGCGATGCAAGGAGGTGGAAGGAAGGGTCTAAAGGATTTTTCAGTAAAAGAACTTCCAAGGGGAGGTGTTAAGATATACGCTTTTCTAGCTTATGTGTACAAATCTTGGGTGAGTCCATTTTAAAGTTTTTGTATTATCTTTCTGAAATTCAAGACCAGGGTTAACTTCTTCCCCATGTACAGTGGGGCTCAAATTAAAAGTAACGACTTCTGTGAAAATCCCTTTAAAATTTCAGTTTATGCACCCAGACTAATATCTATTCCAACCGCCCGCTGTTTCAATCACTTATTTCTTATGGTGAGTTGTGGTACGAGATAGTCAGATATCTGAATATTTCTAAGATTTGGGGTTAATATTCACATATAGAGTAATATTTTATGCTTCATCTTATGAAGCTGACTCATGGTTATTCATTGTTTGATTCTAGTTGATTCTATGGATTGATAGATATAGTTGAAGTACTTCTTGAATAAAGCGGCATCGGTATAATTAATTTTTTTTTAAATTGAAGTTTGTCGTTAGTATATCCTCCCATTATTTTTCCCATGAAATATATTTCTTTAATCGTTCTTAAGAGTTATTTTTCTCTGAATACCTATTTTTGATATAAGAACTAATAATTCTCATCAGCATGTGCGATATGAAAACGGTATACACATAATTATCTTGAAACGCGAATATCTACCTACTTCCAGAAATTTTATTTTTAAAGTATAATACTTGAGCTTCGATAAATCGTGCAGATAAATTTGAAAAACAGGGTTATTGATCGATTTGATAAAGTTCAGTGTCTCCCATGTCCGTTAATCACAAAAATATTACTTTGCTTCAGAACAGTGTTGTGTCATCAATTTGATATCTCAAAGGACATAGGAGATACTGAACCGAACCGAATAAGTAGACAATATTTCATGATGCATGATTCTATACCTAGAAAATAATGACGGATTCTCATTCAAGATCACTCGGAACATACCTGTACTAATTTTCATCATCATAAAATACAGGGTGTCCGAATTTTTTTTTTTATTATTTTTTGGTTGATGAAAAA